GCAGTTCAGATATGAGATCAATGTCTCGTCTTCGCGATCCAGCGGAATGCGTCTCTAAGGCAAAGCATCGCTGGTCATATAATGAGAACAGACGACAGATGGACACTAAGAACTCTGGAATGGATTCCTCTCGAAGCAAAACGTCCTCGAAGGAGGCCACCGACCAGATGGGCTGACGTGTTCGTTGCACGAGTGGACCAGCTGAATTCTCAGCTGATAACGAGTGACCTGGACCTCGTGAACGCCGCGCCGCACTTCACGCTAGCGAGAGACAGAAACGGATGGAAGCAATGCTGTGGCCTGCACGACAAGTGAAACAAGCCGTCTAAGTATTTAAGTAAGTAAGTAAAAAGTGGAGGTAATACGTGCTTGTAAATTCTTTCACTTTAAGGTTAATTACGATTTTTAATTCAATCAGATGCATACTGGTCCTTTCTTCAAACAACGCTGACTCAGAGCGTAGCTCCTCTGTTGCCATTTGATTTTACATAGAGGAAAGAAGTAACTCAAGGATAAATTAGACTCTTCAGTAATGTACTAATGAAAAGCTAATCCATTCTAAAACGAACACTGCTAAGTCTTAAACTTGAGTTTAGAACAGTGGAATGGTCCAAGCGTACTCACAATGAGATTGAAACTGGCTACTCAAAGGATGCATCCTCCTGGATTTAATCTAATCCAGGAAGATCATCTGCGTTGAAAAGATGGGATTTTCATGAGAGATTTGAAAACTGTTCTTACAAGTAGTGAGTTTAGAACAGTCTTGTGAATCCCACTAATTTGATGTTTGAGTAATGTTAGGGAATTCGTTCGCAAACTTGTACAATGCTACATAACTATGCATAGTCTTAACAGTAGACGATGCCGATGAGATTAACGCGAAACTCCGAAATGAAGAGGAAGCTAAGCTAGCAGTTTCCAACGTTTCCGAAGATCTGACTGGAATATTTTGTCAATTTGATGTTTATAACACACCTGTCCATGACTATCGCTTAATAATTCAACAAAATCCATGCTGATAGAGGATACGTTCAGAACTTGACAAGGAACACACAATAAGCATGGATGCTCTGTAAATATATTTGCTCAAACACCTCACTCTCCCTTTTTCCTTACAAGCCCCTCCCCTAACGACGCGACCCTCTTTGCCTCCCGATGAAACGGTCAAATCACACGCTTGACCCTGATCTAATCTTTCACTAGAAACTTTATGGAGATAGCATGCCACAGCTATGTGCAAGAGCCCTGCACAAATTCTAAACAATAGAAAGGCAGGTACTGCAAGGAAAGTTGCAATAGTGGTTGGTTCAACTTGTTGGCGGAAATAATGCTCAACGGTGAACTTTGCGCGCTGATCGCACTTCTTGTCGGTTCTTTCCAGTCATCACTTCTCGTTTATCATTTTTGCAAATGTGTTTTTGTTGTTCAGTTACCATACTAGGAACTGTTGGTCAGAAATTGTTTGAAATCATTTTTATAGGGAGAATCGCCTACAGTACCTCTACTACGAAACATGGTGAGGATAATGCACTTGTTGATATTTTCAGAACTCGTTTTAGTTTTGGTACTCGATATTTTAATTGTTTTATCTTACCATCTCCTTATGCAAAAAAGCTCGTGACCCTTTTGAAGGTAATAAAGTGGTTTTGCAGCAAATATGGCAAAAGCGATTTTCTTCAAATTTTCAAACTCTAATTTCTCCTTCCATTACAAGTGCAGGGGACCACTGACGGGTTTTCTGTCAAAAAATTTTTTTCTCTTCTAGGCGAGACGCTATGATAGTCGCACCACCATCTTCTCTCCTGAAGGTCGTCTCTACCAAGTTAGCGCACTGTTTTATGATTTTTAAATGAAATAAAACAGTAAATAACATCAGCATACACCCCATCTAGGTCGAGTACGCGATGGAGGCAATCAGTCATGCTGGTACCTGCTTAGGTATACTTTCTACTGATGGTATCTTGATTGCTGCTGAAAAAAGAAATGTTCACAAGCTGCTTGACGATACGGTAAGTCTACCCCGAAGTTTTGTTTTTTCGTAACGTAATAGGAGTATCGTTCGTTCGCTATTTTTAGGCCTTCCATTGTATCTGAGTAATGCTACTAAAGTCCTTCACAGTGGTCATTTAGAAATGGTTGTGTCATAGTTCCCACTTTGCTATGAATTGATCTTCAAAAACTGACATTATGTTAATTGTTCTAGTGTCGTCACTTACATTCAGGTGTTAGCTGAGAAAATCTATCGACTCTCAGAAAATATCACATGCACTGTTGCGGGAATCACTGCTGATGCCAACATTCTTATCAATCACTTGCGATGGTATGCATGTATTTCCGCTGCATGTTCACTGGTTATTTTTTTTT